TCCAATGACAGACCACCTACTTCTTTTGTTTAACAAAAACTTTGATCAAACTCTTTGGCTTTCTAAGAGGTGCCACTTGCAGACTGTTTTAAACATTTGGCAAAGACGACCAAATATTCACATTGTAGACACAGGTTCTCGACTAAACAACAAATATTGAGGGGTCTGACGAATACTTGCTCACTTGCAATGCTGCTGTTGACATTAACTAGATAAAATATTTTCTGAACATTGGATGAATTTTATTCAGAACTTGAACAAAGAAGGTTCAGCAAGGAGAGTACACAGAGGAACATTTTGAGAAACTCTTCAGGCATTTTTAGTTTGTTGATCAACAGTATTCGTCAACAGGCACTGCCAAGACACGGTCTAAACTAAAGGTCAGGGGTCAGACGCTGACACAGTTGTTTTCGCGGCTTGTTGTGTTTCTACACAATATTGTATTTTCTCTACCCCCTCAGTGCAGTATCGTCAAACTTACACAACAATACATGATATTAACAAACTGTTACGCAAAATTTCAATTTCAAACTGACAACCTTCCAAAAATATTTTCCCTGGTGAATAAAACTAATATACACCAACCATGCCAAAATGCTGACTTAAAACCCACTTACAAAGATGAATAATACTTCTATTGAATAAAACCAACATATGTCCTGAGAAACATAAAGATGATAGGCTAAAAAGGATTTGTTGCATGTGATGGTGTTAAAGGATCCTTGTACAATCTGTAGTCAGAATCCAATATGAGAAGGAGGTATTAAGTTATGTTAATAAATTACACATATACTGTAATGTATTATACATCCTGCTCAAAGGTGCCCCTGACCAACTAATAGAAACCGAAAATATACATGACAGTTTATATATTTTTGAGTGACAGATTCTTTAAAACAGAAAACAGCAGATCACAATCTTTTAAGGATATTTATCATATAATAACACAGACATATAACTGCCTTGTAACCATTATTGAAATTTAATTGGTAATTGTCATTTGAACATGTTTGTTCCCTACAGCTTACAGATATGTTTATGGTTTTAAGAACAACACTGTTTCAAATTTCTATTCATCCTGGGAGCTTATTATGGTGGATGGCAGGCTGTCAATTCCATACATTCTTCTAAAGCATTGGCATGTGCTCCTCCAACAGTACCTCTGATTTATCAAGGTAGAAATATGCCCTGTTTTGCTCAGTCATCCAATAATGATGGATCACAATAATTGCTGCTGCTGTGACTTACAGCAAATCCATCATTTATCAAACTTGACAAAAATAATTACCAGACCTCATATCACATATATTTACTGCCATAGTTTTCTTGGTGAATGAAACAAAACACAATTAATGATGTGCTTAGAGATGACTAAACAACAAAATATTGCAACAAACCACAGCTTGGTCATTCTAATAGAAAATATCACCATATCTTATGTTTACTAATCCTGTATTAATCATGAGATATGATTGACAGCTCTGGCTGTCAATCAAAGGAGAGAGCCATAGGGCAGATCCTAATCTCCATCAATTACCACTAACTATGATTGCAGGTTACATAACTAACTCCCACATGATGTGCTCTAGATGGGGTGCCTTGAGGCTGTATATATCAGTGATCTACTATACCTATTTGGCTCATAAACAAGACGATAACACTGTATATCTCACTACCACATCTAAAGCCAAGGGAAGGTAAATGTCCATATATTTTGTAATGTAATTATGAACAACAGTAGTTCATATATAAATGCATAAGCCTCTCAACAGTAGTTCTTATATAGATTTCATATATTAATGCCCTTAGTGATGTTTCTATTCTTGTAAGATAACGCAATCATGAAATTATGTTTAAAAAATATATGAATGATATTGACAATACATAATAGCAATTAATACTTATTAAATCTGAAATCATGATGGATGGATGTTTACAACGGATAAAGATGTGGAATTGACCTGTGAGTGAAAATTCTCATAATTTTTCAGAAACACCAAGGTGCCCTTGGAAATTACTTCAGAAAGAATTTTATCTAATTTGAGCAGTGGCACAGCAAGTGAACTTTTTGAGATACTATTTATAGCAATATTACATTAGTCTTGTTAGCCAACTGCCTTCATCTCATTACAGCTTAATCCTTTCCTCAAGCTTTTAAGGAATGCATAAGTCTCATTCATAACTTACAATACAGCTTCTTAGGGTAATGAGATTTGGAGGATTGGCATAATGCTTCTTTTGTATACTCTAATATCTAGCGGAGGATGTTGCTCATCTTTAATTAAGGGCAAGAAGCATGCTTGCTAAGCTGAATAATATGAGATTAGGCACTTCTATGCTGTAGGTACATCATAAGGCAATTTATTTATTTTTATTTCCCCCCAGGGTTAACTCGTGGCTACTGAAAGAAATCCATTTAATGAATTTTACCAGCTGTCAGCATTCCCCTTACCGTTTTTACTGCATTCACTACAAGGATGCCAGGTGCACTTCGGAATTGGAAGTTCACAGTTTATATCATTATGCTTCAGGAATTCTAAAAGAAAGTTTTCTTTAAAAAATTCCAAAACAAATTTGATACAATTTAAAGGAATGTTTTGAAGGGATGATAATTACTACAGACGTAAAGGAGCCAATTTATAGCTGTTGTTGCGGACACCTGGCTTAAAGCTGAAACTGGGTGGGTTGAGGGGGGAACAAAAGTCACAGAACTGAACAGTGCTCGTCGAAATGGTGTTCTATTACTGGGGACAATCAGCCTGAGTTCATAGAAATCTTTCAACAATCTGAGGGAAGATGGTTATTCACATAATTTCCTTTCTACCACTCCATTCGAGTCCCCTGATTTTCAAACAACACAAAAGGCCTGCAATGGCTTTTGGTTCTCTCCTCCTTGTTCGTCGCAGAATGGGTGTGAATTGGCGTTTCTTTTCGCGATACTGGGCTATGCATGGCCTATGACAGTCTGTGACCTTACCATCATAGGCTCTTTTGATCTCATGGAGAGAATTTCACCAACAAGCAGGCAATATTATTGATGTGAAAAGCCCGGTGCAGTTTCAGAAAGGAAAGCAGGCCTTTGTGGAGCTTGAACAGCTTTCTATGTACATCGGTGGACTAGAGCCTATTCAATGTCAACATTGGTTTCATGAACTAAGAACGCAGCACACCTAATCAAAGTCACATCTGAAGCCTTCCACTCAAAGCAAACATGACAATTCGCACACATATTATATTCTCCTATTGGCTTTGTCCATTTCGCACCTAGCTAAAAACCTCCTCGGCTCTTTCCCCACCCTGACTGAAAGCCAGGCGATATTCAAAGATATTATATTTACTTCACCCATAATGCATTAACTGATTTAATCTCTGAAGGCTTAAGATTACAGTTGATTTCACTGTAATTACAATTTTAAAAACATATAATTTCTTTATCCTCTGTTACAAAAGTATACTTTCTTAAAGGTTAAATTCATACAAATTATACTTTAATATAAAAGCTTTCAAAAATTTATTTAAATTTACAAATAACACCGTTACCACAATCTAAATTTAATTTATTTAAATTTTTGAGTAAACGTTTATTTAGAATATTCGATGGTTTTCAAAGGTTAATGGAACAACCTATGCACATTGTACTTAAAATGTCATCAGTCAAAAAGCAAACAAACCATCTTTTCAAAGGCGTGATCGAAAAAATATACAGCTCATAGTTACATCTTGGCTTGTGGATACATTTCAACAGCAAATTAACAATTGGCTACTGACAAACAGAAAACTCAAAGTACCTCTGACCCTCCTAGCCAATAAACATTTCACACACTCCCCAGCCTGAAATGTATACCAAAAATACCTGCCACAGCAGTAGACACAAAATAAAATCCATTTTGACTTGCTATAAAAGTAGTCCAAGTTCAGGCAGAGCAATGGCAGTGTTAAGATTAGAGCAGAGCTTCTTCAGGAGCTAATGTGATAATGTGAATGTCATTACTAGTACAGGGATTAAGAGTGTAGAGTTTATAGTGTTAGGGTAATATACCCATTTAATTATGTGGGTAGACTGGAGAGAAGTAATGATACCACTGACAGAGGCTTACAATGCATTAGCATAAGGTGCAATGAACCATGTTATAAGTGTACATTTGATAGCAATAAAATGCAATTAATCCACTGTGGTGCTAATTTCATGCTTATTTGCAAGGGGATATAAATATGTCAACCCAACCATCTAGCTTAGTGTCAGAATGTGTATTTATTTTTATCACATTTTTATGAACACAGAAATACTGTTCTTTCTGGCTTTGTTATGAACAGAAGTGTTTCAATGGTTGAAAGAACTCCTACATATGCATTGCGGGTCTGAATTCATTAAGATCAAATGGTAGTGCACTTAAAACCCAACACTGGTGGAAGGGAACAAAAGCCCGGCCTTACACACAAATCAAATATATTTCATCCATTTATTTGTTCTGTTATTTCCCAGCCCATTAACCCATGGGACAACGACTAAAGTGGACAAAGGGTTATTTCAACTAGTCCGATAGACTGGTGGAGAAAAACAAACACCTAGCACGCAACTAACATGAAAATTAGCTTCATGCACGCAAGGAAACCGGCATTACTTTGTGATAAGGGTCAAAACTTTGAGACAGGTTAAAAAAGAATTATGTCGTTCAACTTGCCTCACAGGTGCAGGTATGTGTACGAAATTAGTATCTGTCAGGGGTTTTGGCAAGCATGGAGTCGCCTGTCATAGTTGCCGACATGTAGACGAGCTACCTCAACCACTACTCTGCTCCTTCGCACTGGGTTTGAGAATGAACACAAAGCAGGAAGGCTTGAAACGGGCTATCTTCGGATTATGTTACCCCGCCGAGATAGTCTTTAGAGTGTAAAGCAACCATGATATTATAGACTGTCAGTTTTCACAATAAACGCTAGCCGTGTTTTTTGTGAGAATGCAATGTGTGTGACGGGGTTTAATGGAAAGACACACTCACCGTTGGCAGACGACAGGTCTGTTGTAGACACTACCAGAGCTAGTACTAGACAAGCGATCGCCATTCTAAGGGGCAATACTGCTGGAAAAAAAGAAAAATTTGAATGAATGTGCGGAATAATCACATAATAAGTTAATATTGAGTTGTATATTTCAAAATTAGCTTTGTAATATTTCATTTCCGCTGATGAAACATGTCCCTTTTCGTGATTATCATGAAAGGGACAGACATGAGTTTAAGCACGTTTCTGTGAAATCTCATTATGGTTCCGAAAGAAATATTATAAATTGACAAATATTTATGGTGCAATCTAAACTAGTTGAAAAAGGCATGTCTGGTGGTAACATGGTTTGAAATAATTGCAATATGGGCCGACGTGAGAGTTTGGTGTCGGAATCACTGACATCTGAATTTGGAAGTGCGGGCATTTCAGTGTCGGAACCACTACTCGAGATTGCAGGAACAACGGAAAGGGCACTCCACCCATTCCCACTTGAAAATGAGACCAGTCCAAATTATTTCCTCAAATTTCGCGATCATATGAGCAGATTCAGACCACGGGTCGTGTGTCTTTGAGTACGGAATTCCAGAACTTGAAATGTATACCAGAACATCTAGTTTATAAATATAATGGCTATATCTCCTAGCTGGTGAATAACAGTCATAATACCCCATGATAATACTAACTGTATAACAACATAAGCATCCTTCATCCAATACTGAGTTAAAAACGTCTTCTACCTGAGGTGAATTAAACGCAAGTAGATAATCACACTCGCTCATGGCTGTATCAGCTTGATTGGTTCATGTCGCAAGGCCACATCACAAAAAACACTGTCACTAGTCCGATCTCAGTTAGTATCCAAGCTGAACAGAAAGAACGTTGTCATCGTGAGCACACTAACATCGGAAAATCCTGCACGAGTTCTCTCGACATGTCCTCTCCGACTCAACGTGGAGATGTTGTTAGTCGTACAGGGAATCGCCGAGTTGACCTGCCCCACGTGACCGGCACTTGGCGAACTAGCCAATCAGCAGCCTTCCACTGATGAGAGGCATTCCCGAGCGACCATTCAAGCACAGCGAATGTTTCTTGGTATTTTCTAACGCGCTTAGCCCAGGGGTATGGTGGCTCGCTCACATTTGGCCTGTCGTGTCATTTTCATATAAACTGGCCTCAGGTATAAGGACGAAGATAATGTTATCGGGCTTTGCTATTGAGCTAGTGTCATTCGTCCTGCCACGGGAGGTCCTTGTATCTAAAACACAGGCTCGCTTTTCTTTGCCGTGTGATAAAATTATTTCTGATCCAACTCGACTTTAGAGAGACAGAATAGTTGGTTCGCTTAATAAGAGTAAGCCACACCGATGGCTGTTTGTTATTTCAGAGTAAGGTCTTGTTAGAGCTATTCAAAGTGATCGACGAGGCCACGTTATGCGTCCATCAGGGAATTAACAGGGCCAAAAAATTCAACTATTTTCTCGAAAATTACTTTTAAGAATTCATTCAGCTTCATGTGAAATCTACACCCGATCTCCTGACACGCGCGTCATATATTTCACCACCTGCCCTTTCCCATTCATTGTTGTGGTCAAAGAACTAACAAACCATTCCTGCCAATCAGTTTTACGTACTTGCAAAATAATCATGTCTGACTGATGAATTTAGTAGCAATGATTGTTGAGAAAACACGTCATTTAAACGTCTTTAATGACATGTTTAATGAACAATCTTAAAGACAAAGAAGCTATGTCGCCAATTAAAGTAATTAATGGGTATCTCTAATTGAGAAGTAATTCGAAGCTTCATTCTCAAGAGGAGGAAATTAACTTTGTGTTGGTCGGGTTTGCGCTTGAGAGACGACAAGCAGATTCGCGCCATCCTTCTACACATGAATACAATCTCCTTTTGGCGGAGAAAGACGATACACATAAACTCGCACAGATTTTGAAGCTGTGTTTATGAAAGCCGGCAACATGAAAGAAGGTTGTTTACTATTAGCATCCCCGGCCGCTCGGATCACGATCGACTGACAGAACCTCTGACCCCTTTTGTTTTACAATGGAATGATCCATTTGCGTGCGAAAGACATGGAAAAGGACACCCATGACTAAAATTGATTTTCGTCTGACGAAGGCTTGCTGGAAATACACACACAAAACTCTTCCGGTTTCATTTCAATTCTAAACACGAGGATTCGTCTGACATCAGATTCTTTTCAGCGCGAAATAACTATCGCCCAAAGTGACACTTCTTTTTGGATTGGAAAAATACTTAACATTAGAATGAGTTAATGCTTGCCTCACCACAGACGGGGAAAATGCATAACAATTTTCAATAATTCAGTTTAAGCATGATCGTGCATGTTTTTCCATAATTTTGATATTTTGAAATGCTAATGTAGAATTGATATCAAGAAAATACTAGTATGCGAAAGAAGGATGGGGATAAAACAAATGGAACTATATATATGTATAATTGTTTTCAAAACCATTTTATCAATTATAACTGTCGGAATTAATGACAATAAAATCATTCCCCCTACACTCCCCTGTATATTAGACACTGGTCTTGACTTCACAAACGACACTTTTCGTGCTTGCATTAACAATTATGATATCATAGGCTTTACAATACCATTCCTCACCTTCAAAGCGACAGTTGATATCCAACAAGAGCATTTAGCCGAACGTGAAGTCTTACTCGCGTAATTCCAAAATATCACCTTGTGGCAAGATGCACTATACTCATCCAAGGGCATACAGGCAGCAAGTGTGGATATGGGCCTGCCTACCTGCCTTATCTAACACGCTTACCAAATCTCCAAATCTCTAGGCAAAACATAAGATAACTATTAGCTGTTAACTGTTTAATCCAACAACCATCGTTTATCAAATCAGTACCTGTCGACAATACAAGCCAATCAAATCTCACTATTGTCTTCCACGACCAATGAACGTTAAGCTCCATTAACCATATTACCTAGCTGAGGCTCTTAAGTAGTAGGTGAGAAAACCATTGTCCGCGTAACGCTATTGTTCTATTGTTTCCGGCAACTGTTGTCAATAAATTAAAGAATGTTTAAGTAAAACAGGATTAAAACGCGCATCGAGAGATAGTTTACACCTTTTTCTCCTCCCAGTAATAAAACCAATCACGCGAAATGGTAACTTAACAATGAGTTGTGTAGTTGTTGATACAGAGAAACAAAAATTGCAAATTATCTCCAAGAGATTGTCAAATTGATTGACACCTATCTCAGATAAGGAGTTATTTGACAGGGAGAGTTTTGACAGCTGAAATATACATCCAGTAGAAAATAAGCTGTCATAGAAACATAGTTATTCTGTGTAAACAATTACTTTAACAGACGTTAATAGGCAAGGAGAAGTTTATTACCGAGTTGATATTTTTCTAATGGGTTAGAGTCAATCTCTTAATGAAGTTATTGCTGTAATGTTTACTTTAAACCGACAATCGCAACTCACATGTTTATTTGGCCTATTTGTTGACGCTTCTGTTTCAAAACGTGTTTCCTTCGACAATATTATTTGATGGTTTAGCTGTCAGGTGCTACCAAAATAATGTAAATGAATCACCCACATCTTCAATTGTCGAAATAATATAAATTGGATATTGTATTTTCATTTCAGAATACAATCATCCCCGAATTGTAAATGTTTTAAATTCAAAACAGTTTAAATTACAAAATGAGTTTCCTACAAAATGAAGATCATCACTTCACAAAAAATAAATTGAAGTCTCATCATAGTTAAACAACGGTATAACAAGCGAAAATGGAAAAATAGTCATTTAAATATCCGGTTATTTTCCGAAAGCTCATTTGTACATTAATCATCCAGAAGTTTCAAATTGAACGCCACAATTCACTCTTGGTGATAGCTGACTGCACAAGGTGAGATGTTCTGACTCGCACATATGCACAAGCTAAATACTAACGATATTATACAGGTCGGTTATTTATAACAAGGTTTCAGTAATACCAAGTCAAACCGAAAACAGAGAAATCATTAGCGTAGTTGTAGATAAATTATTGATTTGCTATATTCTCAGAAATGAGTTACCGCCTATAACAACACAACGGTAACCTAGCGGTCGTCACCAGATACCAAGCTATTATTGTTCAATAAAATATTCATATACATGCACAAACCTTTCCCGGCTTCTATTCGTCATTCTAATTACACAAATTACTTCAATCTACTCTGTATATCAAGTTTTTATTTGTGATGGTTTACAATTTCACTGTCATAAATATCTTTGGTAATACGAGATGTACTTGCTTCAGAAACAGAAACGATGAGTATTAGTTTGTTGGAACGTGACACCGCGTTTTAGCGTTTCAAGAACACATTTATATGAATAATATATTCGTAATAGCTATGGGAATATGTACGTAAACTCGTTACAACGTTGTGTAAACAGGTTTGGTAAACACTGCGAAACGCATGGTTACAATATTGGCAATAAATTTCCTTAGCGCTTCCGCGAATGAATGAGCGAGCAGTTCAGAGTTCTAAACGTTTTAGCGGTAGCACAGCAGGATAAAGTCTATTAAACAAATGTTCATCCCCCGACGAAGCGTATGTTATGGGGCAATAATTGGCCACCAGGGCGCGCTACGCCAGGCTCCAGTAGGATCGCTCGACCTTTCAATATCCAGGAACTGTTGAGAATAATTACATGCACATTACATCCATCTTTGGAGTAAATCCTTACGCGTGGCGACCGCTTCACTTGTCAAGACTTGATTAATGTGTTCCTCCGCCGCCTCGACCAATAAGCGTCAATCGCATTTTGATATCTTGAGAATCACGCTGTTAGCAAATTAGCTCTTATCTATTTCAATAATGCCCGTTCTCAGGACACATAAGCCAAGCTAGTTTTTGAAAAATGATCGCACTAAGCTTGTCCTTACAGAATACGCTGTAGTCGATAATTTACACCTGCTATGACAAAGGCGAGCGGCGGAGAAAAAGCAGTTGATTAGATCAAGATTCGTGTTTTAACGCTTTGGATATTTCTGTCAAAAATGGTTGAATCGTGCAATTTAGATGAGACATACTACAGGCTTTTAAAACATTAATTTCTACTCATTATACACATGAAAACGAATTTTATTTAAACTTTAAAAAATGTTTTTGAAACAGAAATAACAGGTCAAATTCCAAATCGACATCCACCGATGTGTCGAGAGCATTATATTGTTTTGAAGAGCCATAAAATCATTGTTATTTTAACATCATCTTTTTAGCCAAAAGAAATGTCTACAATTCCACGGATGAACACGACACATCGATTGTTAAATCGGATCTTTATTTTTTACTTCAGAAAAAGTTGACACGAAAAATGACATTATGAAACGTACATCTAAAGGCATCAATTTTCTATTCTCCATTTGAAAAGGAAATGAAATTAACTCGTACTTTTTACCGTCAAGGAAACTGAATTTGGAATATTACACCAAAGAAAATAACTGTGTTTCCAGCCACGAAAAAACGTGTCATGTTTCTTTATAACACGAAGTTATTTTAGCGTGGATATTGATTTTAATCGTTGTTTGATCAATTTAACTTAATACTATTAGCCATACCATACTCCCTTGTTAAGAAACTAGGATAGTAGTGTTCAGGGAGGCTCATCTTTCAAGCCATTGACTTTTCACGAACGTTTTTATATATAAACTTACTCGGGATTCGCTGTCGGTTATTTTCAGTTTAACTAAATTTATTGATTTTTACAAAGCAACGCTCTCAGTGCTTGGAACGCACTTCCAGCGTATGGTGGGAATACCACCGCATTATGTGAGTGTTCTGAATATAGATGTAAAACAAGTGAGTTGTATATATCTTTCGTTTGCGATGGAAAATGTAAGCTGAGATCATTAGCTTTTAAACATCGTGTCATTTCTGATAACATAAATTGATGAGGGGTCGGGGTGGAAGCGAAGGATGAGGTGTAGCATATGGTTGGGTGCAAGTCTGT